TGGTGCTGTAATTCAAGAACGGACCGAAGCGAAGGTGTTCTCAAATTACTTTTCCCGTCTAGCTAATGAAAACCGCACTCTCCTCATGAACTCCAATAACAGAAATCGTGCAGGTGTTTGCGCAAATCAGGGCCATGAGGAAAACCGGCCGGCCCATCACATACGCCTCCTCTCTCCACGATCGCGTCAGGTATGTATGACCATCTTCAACCCAAGACCCAACTTCATTACCTCTTCCCTCAGTTTTCCAGAAGCAAGACCAGCAAACAGTACTGTATTATAACCAAAAGTTCATATACCGGTTCACATTGAAGCAGACTTTTCTCAGCAAGCCGAATTGGCCCCCTCCCACCAAAACTTTTCGAATGGACCGCCCCATTGAGGAAATCTTAACCACGGCGTGCCCTGCTCTTTTCATTCTCAGGGTCTTTACGAACGCAAAATCAAAATTGAGCGACACAAAGGCTGACCAGAGTGCGGAGCAAGGGCAAAAATAACAAACGCTATCCGTTTTCCTTTCCAGCATGAGCTGTCCTTATCATGACAAAAGTCATACTTTCTGAAAATGATAGCAGGCATGTGAAAGGGCGTGAGCTGGAACGCAGAAAGGGCGGCCTTCCGCGCCAGTTGTTGCGAAGTCAAGATGACACCTTCGGTGGAAAATCCCGCCTTGGCAGTGCACCGCCACATCCCCTATCACTTGCAGAAATCATGACTGTACATGGTGCTTACCTGCTCCAGATCTTCCACATAAGTCGCAAAATACTGGCCACTCATGGCAATGAAGTGGTGCTGACCTCGGCAGAGGACCAATTCTACGCGAGAAGCCTCTCCTTCTGAAGCAAAAATAACCGGGAAGCTAGTGCTGAGGGACTTCAATAAAAGGACAGCCGCGCTCACCGTGTAACACTAAATATAAGTGACTTTGGTCATCAACCCTGAGCCAAACATTGAGGCCATAATGATACACAGTTTCATTTACATCATGAGCAAGCGCATTTAATGACTAGGAATTTCCATGTTGGCACGGAATTATGGATTAAAAGCGTCGATCGTAGAGATATATACAGCGTGAGATTGTAAGAGCGTATAAGAGCGTACTCATGTCACAAGAAAAACGCAACATAAAGCGTCCAAGACATAATACCTGATCTACTGTAATATAATCAAAACAGCTGTGAGATTAGTAAGCGGAATAAAGTACCGATCAATGAGCACAAAAAAAACATTACGCTTGGGTCATAGTAAGACACTATAGCAAATTCTGGCACATGCATAATAAGAGAAACAAGTACAACCACAATAAATCGAGGATTATCCAGACCTTGTGATAGAACATTCCCGTTTATACAATAATCGCACTTATAACAAATTTGTCGATAGATTAACTAGAGATTGGGGATGACGAAAGTTCATAGGGAAAGGAAAAACTCTAATATGCTATTGTAAATGATTATGGGAAAACTGGCCTTCATATGGCCCATGCGTAAAAACTAATGGAATATAACAATCTTTCACTGCGAATCCGAGGAAGTTTTAGGTTTACTGCTCCCGGCATTTTCATGAGATTCGGGGTCGAAGAAAAATAGTGGAAACATTCCGATGATACATCCGACGGAAAGTCCAATTGCACGCGCAAGATTGGTCGTCCATCGAGCCTGAATAGATTTGTGGCTCAAAAAACCGACGGAAATACTTCTTTGAGTCGAGACGATAGTTATAATAACGCTATCTCGATTTGCGCAGTAACCCACCCAGGGCATGTCCTGCCGTTGGGGAAAATTTGTAAAATAGGACTTTGGTAAAACCCCGTTCCCTTCCCCATCTCCCCCACTACATCTTCCCCAATCCTGGGAGCTTGAACCCCGTGCCTTCCCAGTGTATTCTTCGGAAATCGCCTGTTTTTAGCCAAAAATGCCCGCGAAAGAGCGAGATGGATTGTGGGGTTGGGGGTCCCGGACGTGTGACATGCAATGAAGTTCAAGCCTAATCATAATTATTCAATAGCTGTGTGTGTGTGTGTGTGTGTGCCTGTCTGTCTGTCACGAAATTCATAGCAGGTGAAGAAGGAGAGGTCGGGTCATGGTGGGGATGGGTAGAACATGGGACCAATAGCACTCATGACCCATGATAAGCCCCGCCCACAGTGGGCGGGGCGTGCGTCGAAAGTTAGCGATGTCACTGAAAAAGTCATAACTCGGTTCCAGAGCAGTCCCGAGATGAGGGAACAGTGCAGTGAAGTTAACAAAGGGCTGACCGACCAAACAGAGGAGACACACCCGAAATGGGCGGGGCGTGCTTGAGGTGGGCGGCGCTTCCCGTGTCACTGGAAAAATCACCATAACTTGGCTACAAAGCAGCTCGGAGAGGGAAAGAGTGGAAAAAGTGGAATAAGTTTAGCAGTAGTTGGCGCACTAAATGGAGGAGACACCCGAAATGGGCGGGGCGTACTTGAGATGGGCGGCGCTTCCCACAAAGGTCGGTAACTCGGTTCCCGAAAATGTTTAGAGATCGCAGAAAAGTCCATGACGAAGATGAACGTCTGGCAAGAGTCCACCATGTTTGCGGCGTGCTGAGGCCCGCCCACAGTTGGCGGGACGTGCATTTGAACACGAAGGTACCTGTATGAAAAACCGTAGTTTGGTCAGCACTACAGATGGTGCCAAAAAGTGGATTATGATCCCCAGGAGATCAAAGGTAGGAATGTGCGAGGCTGTTACGTTTGTGGGCGGAGCCTGCGCCGTGATGGGCGGAGCCAAATTTGAAAAAAATTTGCAACGGTTCCAGGGCATTCCAGACAGCGGGAAAAAGTATTAGGCTGTCTGGAAAAGTCTCAGCGTTTTGTGTTACTATTTTTTACATTCATTGCTGACTAAAACCCTCATTCTCCCTTGCTCTCAGTAGTACATCCTAAGGAGAATTTTCTGCGCTATCTGATGGTATAATTGCCGTTTCACCATTGCTTGATTGACCCCCTTTTTTCAAGAGTTTTTCAAGCATGTCAAAAGAGCAACTTCGGACGATATTGTTCTTCAACTACAAATTGGGTCAAGACAGCTCGACAAATTAACCAGGTGTGGGGGCCCAATAGTGTTGGAGAAAGCACCGTGCGACAATGGTTCGACAAATTTCGTTCTGGAGATTTCAGCCTTGAAGATGAACCTCGTAGCGGTCGACCTAAAGCAATACCTGACGAGGATTTGAAGGCGTTTGTGGAGGCTGACCCATCCCAAACGAGAGATTGCAGAAAAGCTAGGCGTTGGCAAATCCACTGTTGCGGATGGTCTGAAACGCATTGGGAAGGTGAAAAAACTCGACAAGTGGGTGCCCACAATTTGAGTGACCGGCAGAAATTGACACGTCTCGAGGTTTCTTCTTCACTGCTTTTGCGCAACAGAAACGACCCGCTTTTGGACCGAATTGTCACGTGTGATGAAAAGGAGATCATGTATGATAACAGGAGACGTTTCGGACAGTGGTTGGATGCCGGCGGACCCCTGAGGCAATTTCCAAAGCCGAATCCTCACGACAAAAAGGTTATAGTCACAGTGTGGCATCCAGAGCCATCACAGCAGAGTCCTACTGTGAAGAAATCGACGAAATTTACCGAAAATTGCGTCAGCTGCAGCCAGCACTTGTCAACAGAGAGGGTCCGATTCTTCTGCATGACAAGCACACGTTTCACAAATCACTATCCATAAATTGAAGGGTTGAAGTTCTACCTCACCCGCCATATTCTCCAGACCTTTCACCAACCGACTATCACCTTTTCAAACATTTTCAGAACTTCTTGCTTCATCAATTAGGACCAGGCAAAAAAGCCTTCGTGGATTTCTTAGATTCTCGACCACCCAGTTTTCCTTTGATGGGATTTCTCGACTGGTGTCACATTGGCAAAAGTGTGCTGATTCGAACGGTGCTTGTTTCGATTGAATCCGATGAGTATTAAGAAAGTTATGATCGTTTAAAGTGAAACACTCAAAACGCTGAGAACTTTCCGGACAACCTAATAGTTCAAGATCAGCGAGAGGTTATTACTTGAAAGGGCGGGGCGTGCCCCGAGGTGGGTGGAGCCGGAAAAATTCGCAAAACGGTTCCAGAGCACTCCAGACACCGGGAAAAAGTAGTTTAAGATCAGCGAGGGGTTATCAGTTGAGAAGCGCGAGGCATACGTTGTGGATTCGTTTTTGTCGTATACACGGTCACCTCCAGTAACCAGGCTTCAAAAGAAACTATCCAAAGGAGGTGCATACCGGAGCTAGATTCGCTCCGAATCAATTCAACTGAAAGTTTCTCCAATCAAGGCTATCAGAACTTACCATTCACGTCCTGAAAGCCTTCGCTAGAGTCCTTTTAACTTCAAGACAAACGAAAATAAAACTGCACAATAGTGATACCCGGGTGCCGTTCCAAATTTAGCTCGATCCCCAATGTGCAACATTTACGCCTATACCGTGATGCCGCAGAAAAACACTTCCGCAACGCCAGAAAACAAGCAGAAGTGAGAGTGTGCAGAAAAGCAGCGCGTTCAGCTACGGTAAGCATGAGGCTAGCCGCACGGCAGCGCGGGTGGAGTATGGAGACGGCATCAGTGTATCACTTCCTTCCAGCTTCGTTCCCGTGTCCTGGTGAGCGCAAAAATGACACGTTACTACAGCTCCGGGCACATTCACTCACGCATGGCGGAGCAAGACTCACGGAAATGGGGGCACAGTTATATTTCAATTATTTTTGAACTTACCCTAGAACTGCCCAGTTGCTCAGATGTGAGAACAGGGTGTCTGATTCCGACTTTGTGGAAAACGCTTTCAACATAGTGAGCTAGACCAACGCCTGCTACGTCTGAGATCAAATTTCCGAAGCCTGCAGCAGCCATTGTTGAGATACATAACAATGCGCCCAGCTCCTGAAAACTTGGAAATTCAGTATAATTATCTATATTCCTGGACTATATTTGAACGAGGTAAATCTACCTGGTCTATGTAATTTCCAGCGATTATCATAATCATATTGTCGAGGAAACCGAATCCAATAAACGGCAGAGCATTGACGAGAAACAAAGCGCGAGTTTGGGCATCAGTCATCGGAACAGAATCCTAAAAACTAGAAAAACGCTCCAAATTCATAGTCTAATTTTGTGACAGTTAGAGACGGTAACGAGGCAGCAAAACTTCCCCGCGCTCAGTTAACTGGCCTTCCCCGAAATCGAGTCCGTTGTGGGAAATTATCACTATCTTCAACGCGGACGCAGACTATTAGACTTAAAAACGCCCTCGAGTCGTCCCCCTCAACTCCAGTAGCTCCTTAGTTTCGAATGTATTTGATGATCCCCGTTCCAACTCCTCCTCTATGCCCGCCAAAGCATATTTTTTTTGCATATTGCTTTTTTTCAACACTTGTAGCTCTCCTGTTTCCCAGCTTCCCGACCACTAGAACACTTCGATCCAAAAACGGAAAAAACCTCATCCAGCTGCACCTAGTTCCCGTGCTCTTCTGTTGTGCGGTCTGGAGGACAAATGCCGTATTTTTTCCACCCAGACCAACCAAGCCTTTTACTCCCGGGACGGTGAATTGGTACCAGATTCGTCTGGGAGGATAAAACACTGACTTGTACATCGGCTGGCCCGCCGCAAGTCATTGTATAGGCCACATCGTATAAGCCACTTCGATTGTGGATGGAAGTAGAATATGTGCCGCTTCCCCACTAAAAACTGATTAGGGTGAAGACTTCATCCTTTAGCCCCACTCTGCTTTACACAAACTTCTAAAACTCCACGTACAGGTTCTTGACGTGCTGCTAAATCCTCCAGCGCCTCACGTAACAATACTTGCTCGTATCTTGTCAGTCTTGCAGCAACCTGAAAAGTGTCAATCATGCAGAGGCACAACGAATCACAGAAAAAAAATGAAAAGGATACCTCAAGGGCTGTTTCGGGATCATCTATGATGACTTTGTCAAGGGAATAAACAGCACCCGTCGTTGTCGTTCTAGAGCCCACTTGCCACTTGCCAGTCGATGGTCGGTGTTCTGTCCGGGCAGGAGATGGACTGAATCCACATCCTCGTGTAGTGCCCAAACGTGACACGAGGCGGGCAGATGACGCCAATATGCGCATGCGCTCAAATTAGATAGTTTACATCTATTATATTATCAGCATTACCGGAGGAACGACAACTAGACATCAGACAATTACAACGTAACAAGCTGACTAAAGTACAGGCCACGCCGGCCTTTTGCCCCTCTAGATTCTATTGGGTCTAGGATAGGAGTTGAAGGGTAAAACGACTGAGTAATCATGCAACGAGGAGGAGTGAGGCACACTTCACTGAAAAAAATCACTAGTGCTGCACAGAGCGGGGCTCAAACTTCTTAGAGCTATTAGAGTAGTGAATAAACAACGAAGGAAGAAACACGAAAATACTGGTGGCTTAAGTCCTAAAGGAGGTGTTTGGCCGAATGGGGCTACTTTCGTCAATCCTGTAATTTAATTACGGAGCCACCCAGAGAGGGGAGATAAAGTCCGAGGCGCTTTGTTCAAGGGTATGCTATAAAACAGACTAGCAATCTCCCGAACCTGTTTTATGACGAAATACGAAAGTGCTGTTTCCGAGAGGAAGACCAAAACAGCCCTGACGGGACACCATAAATGCGGACATGAAAATGGCCAACCTCCGTAAAGAGGATGCACTATATCGAGCAAAGTGGCGAATAACCGTACCCTGCACCAGCGGAACAACCTTAGGATGAAGAAGAAGAGAAAGAGCGTCTTGACCAAGTTCTCTACAAAAGAAAGTTCGTTGTCTCAGATCTCCGTCAATGGGTGAAACGGTTTATGGTGGCGCTAGCACCGCAGTTTGAGGATGCATGCACTTGAAAACGCTTCAAAAGGCAGAAGTGGCAGCCTAAGGACCATGGACGTAATGGGAGATTGCTCCAAACTAGATTTAAAGACATATTTCGCGAAATCCGATGCGGTCGGATATCCTGGTACAGGTAGTTCCGTTCGTAGTCTTAAAGGCTGTTGCATTTTAACAACTTCACAATGAGTGACGAAGGCGCTATGGCCGTTAGAAGCCGAAGAAATGCTACCCGTGTGCCCGACGGGAAAGTGCCTGACACATATGGGGACGACATATAATGCTATACCTATAAACACAGATGCGGAGCGTTCAGTCATCATCGTACGGGACCGACCTACGGCCTCCCGCCTTCCCATTCACTCATTCTTTATCTCTGGTCTCTCCCCCACGCAGCAGCATCTCGTCTGGTCGAATACTCGTCCAATCGTAAGGTGTCAGTTAAGGAGTCTTCAACAGGGTTGTCTACTTTTCTCTGCACTAGTAACTCAAACAGCTACTAGGATAAACGCGGACCTAAAAACTCACGAACTTTAATCGCGGAATGCGCTTTCGATTTGTGTCATGGCAAAGACTCCGATTCAACAACTGGACAAATCACAAACCACCACACAAAATTTCAAGTAAGTGGGCTTAGAACTTTCTTGGACTAATTACTGACAGCTCAAATTCTACTTCAAATTTTTGTGATGACTACTAATTATAAATTCCCGCAGATATTTCACTCAGTAAGAGAGAATGAATTGCTGAGCAATGAGGGAAGGAAGATCGACTGCGAAACCTTACTTTTCAGCACACTTCAAGACACAGAATGTCTATAAACTGAATAATTCTGATGTAATGCATCGAGAAAAAGCGATCCGTCAATTGCCGCCCAAGGCCATGCATCTTAACGATCATTGAGACGCCGAAAGACTAGTCCCTATCACTATCGTTAACTTCTCGCCATTAAAAAAGCTGTTAAAGGTGATTTCATTGAATGAAATTATCATGCCTTATCGACGGCCGTTCCCAGCGCACTTTAAAAATGCTGCTGATAAAGTGGCCTCATAAACGTTGATGATCTGTTGCCTAGGACGTTTTTTCAATAGTTCATATCAATCGCCCGTAGTAAAAAAGCCACCCACGCCACTCAGAAAATCTTCTATCAAATTAGACCGCGTAAACCAGCCAGCCCTATAGGCACTAGAAATCACCAAATAGAATCGTCCTCCCGGGCTTAATGTAAGGCAACAAAGCATGCTTGAACTGTGATTACCTTATATAAGGGAAGACAGATAAATCCGAAAAAGAACGTAGTAGTTCCTAGGGAGGCAAGTGAGAGCGGGTCTGAATGCTCTGCTTCACCAGATCATATGGCGTGATTCCGCTCGTCTGCGCTCCGCTAAGCTCAGGCGAAGGGAAAGTATTCAACGTGGCACCACGGGCTCTACGAAACAACTGCACTAATGGTCCAAAAAAGAAGAACAACGACGGCAGTTTGGGAACGGCAATCGTGCCGACAAATGCCACAAAGGACACTTTTTGGAAAAAAGAGGCTCCCGGTCGAAAATATAGCAAGAAGTTTACTAATTCCATCACATATTTCATTGAGTCAGCTCAAGCAGGCCCATATGTTTGTAGTGCCAGTTTCTGCGAAAAGACGGGCCCATGAAGGAACTGCGTGACTGCCTTCTCCCTTCGACAGTTTTCTTAGAGGCTAAGGCTAATGGGAAATGTCATTGTTCCATCAAATGCCATCTTATCGAAGAGACGGTGACTTGCAGAAAGTTCCTTTAAAGAGCTAGAACGAGGAGAAACTGGGAGCGGCCTTATCCGAATGGAACGATACTCGAACGCTAAAGTTAGACACGTGCAAGAAAAAACGAACGGTGGAGGAGAGGGAGTCTGGTTTAGACAGGCATGGGTCCAACTCAGGCGAGCCCCGATACCTTGCCCTGTTGCAAGGAGGAACGTGCCAGCTCCCTTTCCTGCATTAAAAACTAACGACTCCACTCCGGCATCAATGCGAGACTCAGCTGCAAACAAAGGTATCGACTAAACAATTCAAGAAAGACCTCAATCCATTTATTTTCCTGTGATGCGTTTGGACGCCTGAGCTACTTATTTTATCCATATATCTCGCTGTCAGCTGCTTCCCATCCCTCCGGATATGTGCCGTTGCGGGCTTCTCTCTTGCCTCCTTTTTTCATACCCTTTCTTCCTTTTTCTTTCTCCTTCTCTTTTTGCTTTTTCTTCCCTTCAACTTCTCTCCATCAGAAGATCGGAAAGGAAACACCTCTGAGCCTAGCGAAAGAGCGTTCGATTGGCGGAATCCTTATAACCCTCCGCCTCCAACAACTCATCTACGCAGATAAGGAGCTGCAAATGCAGATTGCGCTGAGATCATTCAAACAACAAGGTCGTTAACTGGAGACGTTGAGAACCTAACTTCGAATCGAATCAAGTACTTACGAGGTAAGTAAAAGCGGTTAGACAACCATGCTCCATCACTCAGGAAGAACAGGATAAAGCCGTTTATTCTAAAATCTTTCAATTCGAAACAAAAACCGGTATCTGACCATAAGAACAAGAAACAAACGCAACTTAACAAATGAACTAGACTTGAAGAAATGACCACAAGCGAAACAATTCGATATTTACCTAACATACCAAAAACGAGAGAAAAACAGGTTCTCAGCAAATGGAGTGTAAAGTGAAATACTTCATTAATAACAAAAATTCAAAAAATAGAGCTTGACAATCGATTTCGTAATATTTTAAGTAAAAATTGGTCGCAGCGATAAATTAAATTGCACAAGAAAAACAGGAGCACAAAATAAAAACGGTTGAATCAGTATCTGTTGTCATGACCATAGTATCCTCCACGATCATACCGTCCTCCACCACCATAACCACCACCGCGACCCCCTCTTCCGCCACCTCGCGGACCATCCTGATATCCACGATACTCTCGCTGGACCTGAAAAACGCATTTTAAGGTTTAAGTTGTAATCTGCCAAAGAGATTGAAGAAACCTTCCAACCTAGGAAGAATAAATTACAACTCAGAAATTCAGAATTATGCTGAGAGTTTATGAAGAGCACCTACCAACCTCTCTGGAAGAATAAATTACAACTTAAAAGCTCACAATGGCCGAGATTTCATAAAGAGAGAAGCATTTTCAACGATTAAGACTTGATGTTAGCTATGCCAACAACTGACTGCAGGATAAAATCCATCGCAAGGAGCTTTTTTCGTCAAAAAGGGATGTTACAAAACAATCGTAATATGCTCGCTAGCGGGCGTGGCGAGCGATGTCGCCTGACAGAGGAGTTATCTTGCCCGGTCGTTTGAGCCTGAGAGTTGAGAAAAAAAAACGAAAATATTAATATCGGAAGTTATGAAGCCTCGTCTTTTGAATTTCGCTTCTTCAAGAGAAAAGTGGTGCACATTGAGGACATACCGCGTACCGTCGCACGATCGCCGTGTGAATCGACCAATACGATTGTCTTGTCCTTCTCTCTGTCAGCTGCCAATACCTACTAAGTGCCTCTCCTATTCTGCCACACTTTGACAAAAATAAGACCGAAAAGAACGGTGAACGACCAAAGAGGAAGCACTGTGGTCAAGAGGAGGGCGTTGGAAGTCTGTTATATGAAACAACATTGCAAACACCCAAAAACGATGAGAACCCAGTATGATATAGAGAGGGCGAGGGTGGAGACAATGCGTGATTTCGTGTGAGACAAAGACCAGAGCGGCTACATATTTTGTTTCTACGTTGTACGACAACTGACACCAACAAACTAATCAAATAAATATAAGTACTACGTAACAATTTCAAATGTTTGCTTACCATTTGCTCACGCGAGACATACTGTTGTTGATAGGGTTGCTGGAACGGCTGTTGGAAAGGTTGCTGGAAGGGCTGCTGGTAATTCTGTTGATAGGGTTGCTGACGATTCTGTTGATACTGCTGATGAGATGGCTGTGCATGGAAACCTCCAGGACCGCCTCCTCTTCCTCGCCCTCGCTGAGCGGCTAAAACAGAGTTTAATTTGCTCCAGAGCACAAGGCAGGTTTTACCCGCAAAATTTTGTGCATTTCCAAATATTTGGAAAGATGTTTGCATCTATCAATTGGACTTATTGTTTCAGTTGTAATTACGAGGTAAATCAAGAGATAATTACAACGAGGAGCAGAGTCAACATTAACACCCACAAGCTTGCTCTTTAGCGATATCTCCAATCATTTCATTTGTACGTCCTCCTCGATCAGTTGGACGTGGAGCCAAAGCCAGTGGATGTATTTTTGAACGCGTATTCTTTCTGAAACATGGCAAAAACACATTTCAAGGGAAGACCAGAGAGGATGAAGGGATTACGGGCAGGGCACCGTTAGGAATCTCCAGTGAGGGGGCGTATTTGGGGCCATTGGAGAGAAGCGACTTGCTTTTGAGGGAAGGCTCTCACAAGGTTTGGTTTGAGCTCCCCATGGAACTTTGAATGGAGACCTGGGTACATCGATAGAGCCTCGAATGCTAAAATGCAGATTAAAAGTGCTACGGGGACCTCCCAGACGAGTTCTGGTAGGTCAAAGTTTGCGAAAAGTCAGTTGGCTCGTAAGCGCTGCTGTTCAATCCCGCAGTGCCACCGTGGCCTGTGGTAACAGTCTCGCTTTCAAGTCAAACGCACGCGGGTTTGCATCCGGTTGGCGCGAAAATTTTTGCTTCGCTCCCTATAAGAGCTTTAACTCTAATTTTCGAAATTCTTCCGAGTTTACGGCCCAGCAGGGCAAGTAGATCAAGTACATCAAGTATATGACGTACTCGATCTAGTATGGATTTGGTCATATCTGCCCTCTCTGAACATATTACCCATCCGACAATTCAAAGTTTTGGCGAGAAACTCGTTCATGGGAGATTTCGACCCCCTGAACACGAATATCACATCCTTCGACGAAAAAACGCTCGTCTGGCCAAATTGCGATTCTGGGCAAAACTTTGAATTGTCGGATGGGTAATATGTGAGAGAGCAGATATGACCAAATCCATATTCGGAAGAATTTTGAAAATTAGAGGAAAAGCTCTTACAGGGGCGATGCAAAAATTTTCGCGCCAACCGGATGCAAACCCGCGTGCGTTTGACTTGAAAGCGAGACCGTTACCACAAGGCCACGGTGGCACTGCCGAGGCATCGATCAGCAGCGCTTACGAGCCAAAACTGACTTTTCGCAAACTTTGACCACCCAGATCTCGTCTGGGAGGTCCCCGTAGCACTTTTAATCTGCATATTCGTAATCAGCATTCGAGGCTCTATCGATGTACCTAGGTCTCCATTCAAAGTTCCATGGGAAGTTCAAACCATTCCCTTGTCAGTCCTTGGCTCTCTTCGATTTTCCCATTTCAAGTGTGCTGTTCCACCCCCTTCCTACCCCCTCTCGCCGCGTTTTTCTGTAAAAAAAAGAGGCGGAACTCCAAAAAATCTGGAAAAATGATAAGAAGTTGAGAATATCCAAGAAGATGGTAGAGAGAATCGAATCGCAGATGCGAAAGGGGGACGCTAACAGTGAAGCGAAATCTGATGAAAGAGGTTGTCTTTCGCAAAAATTTCCCCCAACCGCAGAAAGTGCCATGATTATGGTCCTCAAAACTCACGCCTACATTAGCAAAAAAATGAAAATGAAAAAAAAATGTAATGAAGAATGGTAGAATGTAATGAAAAACTGACCTTATTTTCGCGTTACTTGCTACTTGGACCCTTAATAAATCCTGGCTAGCAGCCAGTACATCTGCAACAGTCGGAGGTACGACATGCGACATAGCGCTGCGTCTCTTAGCAAAAAGGTCTCTAATTTCGGCCTCTTTTGATTTGAGTCTATCACACCTGAAGCATAGACGGGTTAAAGAACATGACAGAAAAAGATTAATGCGTGAATTTCTGACTGCGAAGCTTACCACAAAAATGAGTTGACCGTGACATCGATTCGTTTCAGAAGAAGAAGTGATCGTGAACGGCAGTTTTGGGCAACTTCTTCGACGAGCTGAATAGAGAAGGAAAATTGAGTGGAGAACTTGAATAATGAGCGCTGAATGACTGCTTTTCTTGCCGCCGCTACAGAAGTGTTACTGCTTAGCCAAAACCAGTTCGGTGTTGTTAGGTTATCCCCAAAAGTTAAGTCTAGCACCAAAACCCATTCTTAGAAAGAATTCTATAGAACTCGAATCATATCACAAGAATGCTGAGTTGTGGGCAAAAGTCGTGCCCCAGGCGGGAGTCGAACCCGCACCTCACGCTTTCCGGGCGAGTGCGCTATCCGTTACGCCACCAGGGCCGCTTTTACCCTCTCAGCTCAACGGCTTTTATGCCGTAGCCTCAGCACTCACACGTTCAACTTGATGAGCTGGTCAGCCGTAATCGTTCGATATCAGCAATGAACCGAGGACCAAGGGTTTAGAAATTTTTTTGAAGTTTTATATCATGATAACGGCTGTTTTTACGCCGCAGTTCGCGTTCTGGAAGTTATCACAAGAATACTGAGTTGTGAGCAAAAGTCAGCAATTAGCAGTTATCATAATATAAAATTTCAAAAAAAATTCTGGAAGCCTTAGGCCTCGCGGTTCATTGCCGATATCTAACGATTACGGCTGACCGGCTCACCAAGTTAAACGTGAGTGCTGAAGGCTACGGCATAAAAGCCGTTAAGCTGAGAGGGTAAAAGCGGCCCTGGTGGCGTAACGGATAGCGCACTCGCCCGGAAAGCGTGAGGTGCGGGTTCGACTCCCGCCTGGGGCACGACTTTTGCCCACAACTCAGCATTCTTGTGATAACTTTCAGAACGCGAACTGCGGCGTAAAAACAGCAGTTATCATAATATAAAACTCGAATCATAATTTTTTTGCGATAGGATAAGGCAGTACTCAGCTGCATCTGTATCATCATCACCACCATCACTGAGCATTGGTAAAGTCCATCATGGTGTGTCAAGTGACTACTATATGAATTTAGGCGTAGTTTGATGATGGGAGAATGGGGGGTGGGGTGGGCAAGGGAGTTTTGCACTATCGCTACTTCTCATTGCCGTGAGCATTGATCTACAAGAGTTTATAAGCGTTTTTTAGGAGAGCTGACGAGTGGTTTCTACAAATTTCAGCTGGAATCACTTCGTGGTTTCATAATGTTCCACAGGTCTCCAGCTGATGGCTCAACACGACAATGGGAAGGGACGAAAGTGCAAAATGCCCCTCCGCATCACCGAACTGCGCCAGGAATCACAAAAACCCAGCCGACCTGCACAACATAAGAAAACTATCCTGCGGGCAATAATGCTGCGCTTATGCAAATACGACGAATGTTTGCACGGAGGGAAGAAAGACGGTTAACGGGGCGAGCTCTTATCGTTCCATAGAATCTCTATAGCTACGTAATGGCTGCAGCTCCTGCAGGAATATCGTGAGCGAGAACCAAAAGAACAAAAAAACAACTGGCACGCATGTCACTGGAAAAGTTCGTCGAAGGTTCATGGCATAGCGCCAAACGCGGCCTCTCTGACATGCCCCAGCGCCTGCAGAGAAGCAGCATGCACTAACCTTGTCAACTTTCTTCCACTGCTTGGCGTCGAGCTTGGCAGTTAGGAGAGGCTTCGGACGTTCGACACATGATTGAAGACGTGCATCAACCTGATGAAGATCGTTCGTTTTATAGGCTAAGTGGAAGAGAGGGGAGGAGTGAGGCGAACACAATTGTTGCAAAATGTAAACAACTAACCCCTTTGTGAAGCATATCGAATATGTCGAGGGGTTCAAATTTATCGCTCGGTTTCGGGACACCAGCTGATTTGACGGCGGAAGTGAGGTATGATGTAAGTTCCTTGTCACGTGCCTCCTATAAGAAATATTATAACAACTCATTCAAAGGAAGAAAAAATTGAAATACTTGCTAAGTCTTACCGAGATGGGTTGAGCAAGAGCATCGCAGGCAAACAATCGAGCCGCCTTTATTTCATTGAGAAGAAAATTCAAGAGCAATGCTTTCTTCTCGGTCGTACTCAGCCTCTCTTCGAGCGATCCAC